TTTACTTCCCAATTTATCAACTGTGAGGACGTGAAAGAATGCGGGAGTGAGGGTAGAAGAGAACTGTACACATATGTTTTTTGTACTTTTATTGGTTATAAAAGCACAATTAGTCGGTATAAAAAAGCACAGAGAAAGGACAGATGCACTTTTTCGAATTTACACAAAAACCACCCCCAAATTCAATGTCCTTCAAATCGTATTAATTGATGATCAAATTATTGGAATTTTCAGCTCACAAACTGCTTTATTCTGCTACTACAAAAAAAAAAACCTCAATTTGAACCTGAGCATTCATCAAAAAAACGAGCAAATCGAAATAAAACTTGTACCTTTCATCTTGCATAAGAGACATAGTGTCGTATGCATCATGGAATTCTTCCTCGGCTTCCAAAAATGCTGTAAAAAAGAAAAATTGAGTTGCAGCAGGGCTTTTTTTTTACTGATTTAACATTCTCGAAAGTTTTTTTTTATTTCGAACTTTTGATAAAAAGTTCCAAAAAACTAAGTCTCATGAATGAGAGGATCAATTATCCTAGTAACATCGATTAACCCCTTAGACTGTTTCCCGAACAGATCATTTCGGTGGCCCTTTCATTTTTTTTTTCCATGGGATTGAGCTGAAAATATGAGACAAAAAAAAATGAAGCTTACGTGGTTCAGCTGTTGCCGCGTTGCTTTTATGACGTGCCGACTGATATGCTACACGTTCCAATTTACTGTGCTGCTCGGCAAGTTCTTCCAGCTGATCTTGCAGCATAAGTCGTTGTTCATGCTCATTTGCTGCATATCGGCCAATTTTTTTTGACTCCTAAAATGGAAACTTTTTTTTGTCTCCTAAAATAAAACGATCATGACCCCAGCTGTATTATTACCAATACAGAAAGGTAAGGCAGCGGTCAGTCTGACCGTTGGTCCTTTTTAGTTATAACGGCTGTCCTAAAAAACTGAATTTTAAAAAAAATTCGACCACCCAGTCTAAATAAAACCGAAATTTTGTTTATACAGAGAGAGCACAGTTTATCAAATCTTGATTCTTATTTTGCCCTTTTTCTTAGCCCCCCCCCCCCCCCCCCCCCCCCCCCCCCCCCCCCCCCTC